GGCCACAGTGAAGAAGGAGTTTGGAGGCGGCCACATCAAGGATGAGCTGTTCGGGACTGTGAAGGTAGCTGCACCCCCCCACCCCATCACCCCAGACCGGGACCCCACCAGACTGGGGCCATGGGCCCACTTCTGGTGGGGTGTTATGCAGGGTTACAGAGCAAGTGGGTGCCAGGGGATGAGTAGGGAGGGCTGGGAGAGTCCTCGGTCTGCAAGCTGGGGTGCTCAGTAGGCTTCTGTCAGCCCACCCTAAGGTGCTCATTTATGCCTCTGCATCCACTGGCCAGGACGATCTCTCCTTTGCCGGGTACCAGAAGCACCTGTCATCCTGTGCGGCGCCTGCCCCGCTGACCTCGGCTGAAAGAGAACTCCAGCAGATCCGGATTAACGAGGTGGGAGCGCTGGACAGGGCGGGCGGAAGTCCCGACCCAAGGCTTCCAGGTCAAGTCAGGCCCCGCTGCCTGAGCCTGCACTCCCCAAGTGGGCTACCCCCTGGTTTGGGCAGGCAAGGGCCTCGCTCACAGTTCACCTTTCCCCAGGTGAAGACAGAGATCAGCGTGGAGAGCAAACACCAGACCTTGCAGGGCCTGGCCTTCCCTCTGCAGCCGCAGGCCCAACGGGCACTTCAGCAGCTCAGACAGAAGACGATCAACTACATCCAGCTGGTGGGTGCCGGTTCCCTGCCCCAGGCGCACACTTGGGGTACACTGTACCCCACCTGCTCCTGCTCCCACGCATGAGCTCACTTCAGCTCACCCTTGTACCCATGGGAACAGGCTGTCCCCATGCCTACCTGTTTCCTATAGTCATGGTGTATAGTGGCTGCAGTCTGTTCCCTGCCCAGCCCAGGCCCCACTCACCCGCAGGGATGCCTGACACACTCTCCCTCATTCCACCCTGTGTGCACACGTCACCCTTGGTTCACCCCTCACCCCTGAACCCCCTCCTGTCCCAGACTCCCTCTGCAGCCCCCTGATCACCCCCTTTTCCCCAGCCAGTGCCTCAGTGGTCCAGCCTTCCCCCTTTCAAACAGAGTGGCTCTTCCAACCATGAGGATGGGCTGGCCCAAGGATGCTGCCTCCCTGAGGTCAAGGCCTTTGCCCCTGACCTGTCCATCGTCCTTGGTGGGACTTCCTTCTCTAGCAGAGTGTTCAAAGGGGCAGAGTTAGGCCTGGGCTCAGGAGTGGCCTCTTCAGAGGGACCTGCGTGGTGGAGTGGGGGCAGGGAGCCCTGGGAGAGGAGCTGACAGCGGCTTCCCACCTCAGGGAATTCTTGTCGGGGAGGGCGGGCCTGGGCCCTCGCCCGCACGGTGCCCTCACATCTCTCCCTGCCCCTCGGCAGAAGCTGGACCTGGAGCGGGAGACCATCGAGCTGGTGCACACGGAGCCCACGGACGTGGCCCAGCTGCCGTCCCGAGTGCCCCGAGACGCCGCCCGCTACCACTTTTTCCTCTACAAGCACACCCACGAGGGTGACCCCCTGGAGTCTGTGGGTGAGTGGCCACGGCGGGGCTCCCACCGCTCAAGTGGCTGGGCAGGAGCCACACTGGCCCACGACCGGGCGGGCAGCCTGCAGGGGCTGTGGGGGCGGCAGGAGTGCCAGGCCCGCCTCGGCTCACCTCCACGTCCCCCGCAGTGTTCATCTACTCCATGCCCGGCTACAAGTGCAGCATCAAGGAGCGCATGCTCTACTCCAGCTGCAAGAGCCGCCTCCTCGACTCCGTGGAGCAGGACTTCCAGCTCGAGATCGCCAAGAAGGTGGGTGCTGTTCCCTTGGGCCCCGTCACCAGCCCCACATGGGCCATTAGGGTCCTGAGACAATGGCAGAGCAGAGGGCATCGTTGCCCTGTTGGATGGAGGGGGAGACTGAGGCCCAAGGGGTCGTGTGTGTCGCTGGTGGCCTGGATAAGCCCCAACTGTGACATCCGTGTCTCTCCTTTCCCTGAGTATGGAAGGCAGGTGGGAGATGACAAGGCCTCCCACCAGCAGGCCCCCAGCTCTGTGCTCCTGGGGGTGGCATTTCATGTGGATATCTGGGAGGAGACCCCAGGGTTGGAGTGCGAGAGATCCACAGGATGCCCCGGGAGTGGGGGTGACCGAGGGTGGTGTGTGTCAGGGCCCGGCACCCTCGGAGTGACCAACTGTGCCTTGCCCCGCACAGATCGAGATTGGTGATGGGGCGGAGCTGACGGCTGACTTCCTCTACGACGAGGTGCACCCCAAGCAGCACCTCGCCAAGCGGGCCTTCGCCAAGCCCAGGGGCCCCGAGGGCAAGCGAGGTCACAAGCGCCTCATCCGTGGCCCGGGCGAGAATGGGGACGACAGCTAGGTGGCGGGACCTGAGCCCTGCTGGCGTGTGAAACTATGGGGCTGCCCCCACCCCCACGGCCACCTCCCTCCTTGCAGCCGGGCTCTGGGGTGGGGGTTGCCTCCTATGGGTAGGAGGGCTGGTAACTGAACATCCTTGCAGCTTCCGAGGGCCACTGGGCTGGCATTTTGTGACCCTCCCCCACTGCTGTCCCTGCCTCTCATCCCTGTGCCCGGGGTATCTGGGGACCCTGCTCGGCTGGTTCAAGAGGCTGGCTGGGGGGCCTGGTGTGAACCAAGCCCCCAGGGGAACTAAGACTAGGGCCTCAGCACGGCCCAGAACCCTTCGGCCACAAGGGGTGAGGTCATTCGGGGCTGGGGAAGGGGGTCACCGCAGGACGAGATGGTTGAATGCTGTATTTTTTAAAGAATAAAATATTTTTAAATCAACAGCTGAGTTTGGCCCTGATGGACCACCTCTGGCCCCGGGTATGGGGAGGCCCTGGGCATAGACCTGCCTGCCCCACCCCCCCACACACACACAACACAGAAGGGGCCTGTGGGCCTGCTGGGTGGAGCCCCAGCCTGCCTGGCTGCAGGTATATGGAAGAGCTGTGTCCGTGTGTGCATGTGCAGGCTTCACTGTCAGCTCATTGGCCCCCTCTTGAGTACCTTGGGTACCTCTCTTGTCCCAAAGGGCCTAGGTTTCTGGTCCCAGGGACTCTGGGGGAATCTCCCTTAGGCTTGGGATTAAGCAGCAGCCAGAACTTCATTCTCTGCCTCTGAGAAGTGTGTAGAAGACCCCTGCCATCCCAGATGGGAAGAGTGCGGGGGTGGGTTCAGATGGCATTGATGATGGATTCACCTGCTGGATGGGCACTGTCCTTTTTCTGGAAAGTGCCTCTTGGGCTGGGACACAGGGCAGTGTCCCATCCCTGGGGCCTTTCTCTGCCTTTACTGAAGCACATAGAATTGTAGGGAATAGAGCTGGAAGCCAAGCCAGGACCCATAGAAGGCAGCCTGATCGGTCCCAAAGAACCCCAAAGGCTGGTTCTCAAGTGGGCAGGAAGACAACGCCACTGTTCCCACGCTGTCAACCCCCCTGGGCCCGTGCACCAGCTGGATGCCTGGCAGCTTGGAGCCTGCCTGCCATGACACCCACCCAGAGGAGGGCAGAGAGAAGCAGGGGTAGCGGATGTCCAGCCCTGCCCCATCCCGCCAGAAACCCTATTTGTTCATTCATTCCCTCATTCACTTAGCCATCACTCAGAAACACTCTGCCTGCCCAGAGCTGACTGTGGAGACCCATGAATTCAGCAAGTATTGAGCACCTACAAACAACTTTAACAACCTTATGGCTTCCCTTTATGATCCCCTGAACTCTTACTCTTCCCTGAAACACTCTTTCATTTTACCTAAATCTGTGTCTCCAGAATTGCAATTACTAACACTTCAAATAAACTCTTATTTGCAAACAAAACAAAAATGTTAACAAATTAGGTAAAAGAGCTCAGGAGTACTCCATCTGGGGTAGGGGGGTTATAAGAAGATCAGAGAAGGCCTCATTGAGAGGGTAATGTGTGACTAGAAATGTAAGGGTGGTGAGGGAGGGGGCCATGTGAGTATCCGGAAAAAGCTTCAAGACACAGGGAGCAATACGTTCAAAGGCCCTGGGGCAGGAGAATTACATGCATGTGTTCAAGCCACAGCCAGGAAGCCAGTGTGGCTGGAGACTGGGCAGGGAGTACAGGGCAGGCAGATACCATAGGACCCTGCTGGCTATTGTGTGGACTGTGGCTCTGACCCTAGAAAGGGCCATGGAGGGGTCTGAGCAGAGGAGGAACATAATGTGACTTAGGGGCCTAATAAGAACAAACTGTGGAGCTTGAAAGCAGAAGCAGGACAATCCTGAGGAGGTGACAACTCCTCTGGTCTAGCCAAGAGGAGATGGCAGCTCAGACCAGGCTGGTGGATGTGAAGGTGAGGGCAGGGGTGGAATATGGGCAGATTCTGAACATGGAGCCAGCAGGACTTGCTGAGGGTCCCAGGTCATACTTCAGCTTTGGGCCTGAGTGATCTGTTGCAATCACCTGGGTCAGAGGGATTGTGGGAGGAGCCTCAGGAGAGGACGAGCCAGGACATCTCAGCTGGTCCAGCGGTGGGGTTTGTGCTCCGATGGTGCACTGGGAATGCAGAGGAGGGCCTGCTCCTGGAGGAAGCGGCAGCTGTGGCAGGGGCAGATGACCCTGGGCAAGGCCAATGCTACCCCCTGCCCCATATGCCAGGCCTGGCATGACACAGTCTAGGACTGGTACTTCGGGCCAGGAAAGGGCAGTGCAGGAGCTGCCAGCCTGAGGCTACTGCCTGGGTTGGGGGGAGCAGGGGCTGAGAAGGCTGGGACATACCCCACCAGGTCTGACTCTGCTCCTAATTCCAATCTCTTGCCAACCTTAGACTGAGCTCTAGGCCTTCACTTCTCCCCAGACTTCCCAGAGGACAGGTGCGAGGCCCACGTGGGATGTGACAGATGGTTTGGACAGACCGGGGTGGGGGGCGGGGAGTAGAAAGAGGAAGGGGTGACGGAGCAATCTGCCACCTGACTATGCAAATGGCCTCTCTGACTCATTGCATCCCCTACACCCCACCCCTGCCATGAGTGTAGGGAGGAAGGGGGCTACTAGGTTATTTCAAAATTCTCACTTCCTCTGTTCTCTGAGCTGTTGGCACGGGAAGTGAGCGCCAAGCATCCTTCCCTGCAGCTGCCGCCCAACCTGCCTGCCAGACCCTCTGGAGAAGCCGCATTCCCTGTCATGGTAGGACAGCAGCCCTCAGCCCCCGGGGAAGGGGATGAGGTGGGGAGGAAGTGATGGGGAGAAACATGGGCTTGGGAGCTACAGACAAGGGTGGGCGAAAGGAACAGTCACCCAGGTGGCTTGGGAAATGCACTGGACCCTGAAGTCATGAGCCATGAGACACAAACTCACAACTTGGGTGAAGAGGCTGGGGCTAAGGGCTGCTGTTAGTGGTGGTGCTGGGCTCACTGGTGGTGCTGGGCTCAGCGGTGGTGCTGGGCTCACTGGTGGTGGTAGTACTGGGCTGCAAGCCAGGGGGACGCCAGGGCTGTACCCTGTCTGCCTTTTGCTGCCCAACCTTCCCTCCAATTTGTTCTGGCCCACAGCAGTTTGAGTGCCTGGGCTGGGTAAGGTGGGCAGAGCATGAAAGAGCTGGGCAGTGGCCATTCTGGCCAAGGCCCTGAGCAGTGGCCAGCCTGAACCCCAGCAGGAGACCCTCATTCCCATCTATTGCCCAAACGGAGCAGGAGTGGTTGGGGGGGAGCCTGACAGACAGCAGAGGGAGGTTTTCAGGGGTGCTGGAGGGAAGGGAAGATGCCTCTTTGCTTGGGAGGAAAGAGAAATGACCTCTGAGGAGTGGAAGGGGGAAACAAGGGTGAGCCTGGGTGGGGGGGGGGGAGGGCTGTTGACCACCAACCTGGCTCTCCTGTCCAGCTAGGGTTTGGTTTTGAGTAAAAGGCTCCATCGTGAGTCTAGATTGCAGGTCTCAGGATGAGCTCTGATTCCTTTCTCTGAGTCAAAGGCTGGGTCTCAGATCTGAGTCCAAGTTCCCCATGGGCCTTGGAGATGTGATGGACACTGGAGAGAGAAACAGGAACCTCCCTGGAGGGCTGGGAGAGATGAAGGTGGGAGCTCTCCTGGGAAACCCCCAGAGAGATGGGGCAGAGGAGGTGGAGCTGGGGCCGTATCCTCACCCGGCACCCACCTTGCAGGGCCCCTACTGTGCCCTGCACCCCCTTTCTCTCCTGGTGCAGGCAGCGGCACTGGCAGCGGCCCTGGCTCAGGGCACCCTGCCTGCCTTCCTGCCCTGTGAGCTCCAGCCCCGTGGTCAGGTGAACTGCAACTGGCTGTTCCTGAAGTCTGTGCCGCGCTTCTCGGCCGGAGCCCCCCGGGCCAACGTCACCAGCCTCTCCTTAGTTTCCAACCGCATCCACCACTTGCATGACTCCGACTTCGTCCACCTGTCCAACCTGCGGGTCCTCAACCTCAAGTGGAACTGCCCGCCGGCCAGCCTCAGCCCCATGCACTTCCCCTGCCGCATGACCATCGAGCCCAACACCTTCCTGGCTGTGCCCACCCTGGAGGAGCTGAACCTGAGCTACAACGGCATCACGACCGTGCCTGCCCTGCCCAGTTCCCTCGTGTCCCTGTCGCTGAGCCACACCAGCATCCTGGTGCTAGACCCCACCCACTTGGTCGGCCTGCAGGCCTTGCGCTTTCTGTACATGGACGGCAACTGCTACTACAAGAACCCCTGCCAGCGGGCCCTGGAGGTGGCCCCGGGTGCCCTCCTCGGCCTGGGCAACCTCACGCACCTGTCGCTCAAGTACAACAACCTCACGGAGGTGCCCCGCCGCCTGCCCCCCAGCCTGGACACCCTGCTGCTGTCCTACAACCACATTGTCACCCTGGCACCCGAGGACCTGGCCAATCTGACCGCCCTGCGCGTGCTTGACGTGGGCGGGAACTGCCGCCGCTGCGACCACGCCCGCAACCCCTGCCGGGAGTGCCCAAAGAACTTCCCCAAGCTGCACCCCGACACCTTCAGCCACCTGAGCCGCCTCGAAGGCCTGGTGTTGAAGGACAGTTCTCTCTACAAACTAGAGAAAGATTGGTTCCGCGGCCTGGACAGGCTCCAAGTGCTTGACCTGAGTGAGAACTTCCTCTATGACTACATCACCAAGACCACCATCTTCTGGAACCTGCCCCAGCTGCGCAGACTCAACCTGTCCTTCAATTACCACAAGAAGGTGTCCTTCGCCCACCTGCACCTGGCGCCCTCCTTTGGGGGCCTGGTGTCCCTGGAGAAGCTGGACATGCATGGCATCTTCTTCCGCTCCCTCACCCAGACCACGCTCCAGCCACTGACCCACCTGCGCAAGCTCCAGAGTCTGCGTCTGCAGCTGAACTTCATCAACCAGGCCCAGCTCAGCATCTTTGGGGCCTTCCCAAGCCTGCTCTTCGTGGACCTTTCAGACAACCGCATCAGCGGAGCCGCGACGCCAGCGGCCGCCCTGGGGGAGGTGGACAGCAGGGTGGAGGTCTGGCGGTCACCCAGGGGCCTCGATCCAGGCCCGCTGGACACCGTCAGCTCAAAGGACTTCATGCCAAGCTGCAACCTCAACTTCACCTTGGACCTGTCACGGAACAACCTGGTGACGATCCAGCAGGAGATGTTTACCCGCCTCTCCCGCCTCCAGTGCCTGCGCCTGAGCCACAACAGCATCTCGCAGGCGGTTAACGGCTCCCAGTTTGTGCCGCTGACCAGCCTGCGAGTGCTCGACCTGTCCCACAACAAGCTGGACCTGTATCATGGGCGCTCGTTCACGGAGCTGCCGCAGCTGGAGGCACTGGACCTCAGCTACAACAGCCAGCCCTTCAGCATGCAGGGCGTGGGCCACAACCTCAGCTTCGTGGCCCAGCTGCCCTCCCTGCGCTACCTCAGCCTTGCGCACAACGGCATCCACAGCCGCGTGTCACAGAAGCTCAGCAGCGTCTCGCTGCGGGCCCTTGACTTCAGCGGCAACTCCCTGAGCCAGATGTGGGCCGAGGGAGACCTCTATCTCTGCTTCTTCAAAGGCTTGAGGAACCTGGTCAGGCTGGACCTTTCTGAGAACCATCTGCACACCCTCCTGCCTCGTCACCTGGACAACCTGCCCAAGAGCCTGCGGCGGCTGCGTCTCCGGGACAATAACCTGGCCTTCTTCAACTGGAGCAGCCTGACCCTCCTGCCCCGGCTGGAAGCCCTGGATCTGGCGGGAAACCAGCTGAAGGCCCTGAGCAACGGCAGCCTGCCGCCCAGCACCTGGCTCCGGAAGCTGGACGTGAGCAGCAACAGCATCGGCTTCGTGACCCCTGGCTTCTTCGTCCTCGCCACGGGGCTGAAAGAGCTTAACCTCAGCTCCAATGCCCTGAAGACGGTGGAGCCGTCCTGGTTCGGCGCTTTAGCAGAGACCCTGAAGATCCTAGACGTGAGCGCCAACCCACTGCACTGCGCCTGCGGGGCGGCCTTCGTGGACTTCCTGCTGGAGATGCAGGCAGCCGTGCCCGGGCTGTCCAGGCGCGTCACGTGTGGCAGTCCAGGCCAGCTCCAGGGCCGCAGCATCTTCGCACAGGACCTGCGCCTCTGCCTAGATGAGACCCTCTCCCTGGACTGCTTTGGTCTCTCGCTGCTAATGGTGGCGCTGGGCCTGGCAGTGCCCATGCTGCACCACCTCTGTGGCTGGGACCTCTGGTACTGCTTCCACCTGTGTCTGGCCCGTCTGCCCCGACGGGGGCGGCGGCGGGGCGAGGACACCCTGCTCTACGATGCCTTCGTGGTCTTCGACAAGGTGCAGAGCGCAGTGGCCGACTGGGTGTACAACGAGCTCCGCGTGCAGCTGGAGGAGCGCCGCGGGCGCCGGGCGCTCCGCCTCTGCTTGGAGGAGCGAGACTGGCTCCCCGGCAAGACGCTCTTTGAGAACCTGTGGGCCTCGGTCTACAGCAGCCGCAAGACCATGTTCGTGTTGGACCACACGGACCGGGTCAGCGGCCTCCTGCGCGCCAGCTTCCTGCTGGCCCAGCAGCGCCTGTTGGAGGACCGCAAGGACGTCGTGGTGCTGGTGATCCTGCGCCCCGCTGCCTACCGGTCCCGCTACGTGCGGCTGCGCCAGCGCCTCTGCCGCCAGAGCGTCCTCCTCTGGCCCCATCAGCCCAGCGGCCAGGGTAGCTTCTGGGCCAACCTGGGCATGGCCCTGACCAGGGACAACCGCCACTTCTATAACCGGAACTTCTGCCGGGGCCCCACCACAGCCGAATAGCACAGAGTGACTGCCCAGCACTCCTTTAACCCCACCCCCAACTCCCCGCACACCGCCCCCCACCCCGTCTTGCCTCTCTGCCTGGGATGCCCCAACTTGCCTCCCTTTGCAATCCCACTGCTCTGTCTGGCCCCCTGGCATAGAGCAGGCACACAAATAAATGCTGCTGGAGGGCCAACAGCTAACCCTGAACTCACTGGAGGTGCTATTGGGAGGAAAAAGGGGAGAATTCACCAGGCCTAAAACAAAGGGGGGAGCAAGAGGTGATTGGGGGTAATTACCATGGAGGAAAAGGGAGGGCCCACAGGGCTTAGGCTGGCAGGGTTAGGGGGAAAGCTGCTAAGGATAGTTGTGTTCACTGGCATCTTTTCCGGACAGTGAGGTCTTGGTCCTTCCCAGAGAAGAGACTGGGTCTCCTGACCCTTTCGATTCAAGCTCGGCATTCCTCTGTAATTGGCCTCAGGTTCTATCTCCCTCACCAGCAGGGCCTAGGGTGCCTCGAGGGCAGGCAGGGAATCTGCAAGCCTGCTTCATTTCTGACTGGCACCAGATTCTAAGAGGTGGCAACCAGGGGAAATGTTCATTCCTAAAGTGATCAGGAAGATGTGCAGCAAGCTCAGAGGGAGTGACTACGCCTTCTGGTGGCCATGTTTATGCTGCACCAGGGAGGCTGGTCCAGGCTAGGGAGAGGAAGGCCTGTGGGTGAATCCAGGCAGCAGCGAGCTGAGAGCCAGGGAAGTCTAAGGTGAACTCACAACCCATCCCTTTCTGTTTCCACCTTGAGCGCATGCTGAGTCTCTCTATTCTGCATCAAAGGGACACCTCGGTGAGCCGTCACCTGGCTACAAAGGTGGGGCCTCCCTTTCCTGCTCCTGCCTCTCATAGCTGATTGTACATAGGTGGGAGTTGCAGCCACAATGGAGTGTGTGTGTGTGTTTCTAGTTTTGATGCTAGATTTCGGTGTAGACTTTGGGATGCTGCTGGGAGCCTTGATGTCCAGTGTTTGGAGAGAGCCTGTTCAGTGTCTCCACAAGTGTGTGAGGAGTATGGGTCCTGTCAGGCCCAGGGTCCTTGAGCTGCTTTGCTCAGGCCGGCTGTCTCCCATCCCCACAAGTAAACCTGCCCTTTGAGGAACAGAGGAGACATGTGCAGCTCTTGGTTGGAGCTGGCGTCTTGGGTGCTGGGAGAGAGGACCCAGCTGAGCTGGCCATGGGCCCAGTCTGGGGCAGCTCGGGGGCTCAGGGGCTTAGCGCTCTGGGCTGGAAGGTTGGAGCTCAGGCAGACTTGGCTAATCTTGCAGCCTGGTTGTGGGGAATCCCTGGTAGGGACAGGAGGCTGCTTTTCCTCCTTCCAGGCTATAGCTGGGAGAGAAGTCTAGGCCACCTTCTCCTTCCTGACCTGGGTACAGAGGCTCCTGCTGGAGGCTGGCATTCCCTATTATCTGCCTGCCTAAAAGAAAGACAGAGGAAGGTCTCTGACTATCTGTAGCCCCGTGAGGGCCCTGATCCTGTCCAGCTTCTGGAGGAGCAGGCTAGCATGGCTCCATGCACTTCTTTAACCCATGCTTGGGGAGAAAATAAAACAAGAACTGTTGTCTTGTGGATGGAGTCTTGTGGGTGGGGCAGAGAGGGCTGCTGAGTGGCTCTGAGACTGTTCTGGCCACATCTGGGAGCAGAAATCAGGGTCCTGCCCAGGGCACCACATTTTGAGTGTGGGAAGCACAATTTGCCTGTCTCTGACCAACAGAGTCTGCCCTGGGGCAGACCCTAGCTAGGACCTCTGCATTCCCGGCCATGCACTCATGCTCCCAGTCCTAGTTCTTCTGAGGATTCAGAAGAGCATCTTAGAGATAATGCATAGGGGCTATGGTTGGAGCACTCTTGGGCTCCACTTAAATCAGTCTAGATGTGTCTGTGGTGCACAATTCAATTTGCAGGGGAAAGTTCTGCTGTCATCGACCACATCTAGAGGCAGAGCCAGTAGCCTGGGCCCTGCAGGGGGTGCTAGGAACTGGGCTCCTGTGGTCAGGAGGGATGCTGGTGGCTGGCCCTCTCCTCCACACTGCTGCACGTCCTCAACCATTAACACTGCCCACAACATGACTTTGCAAGCCTGGGGAAGAGATGGGCCTTGGATCAGATTACCTGGAGTGACCACCAACTCTGCTATTTGGGTTATCCTGGGCAAGTGCCCTCCCCTATAGAGACTGCACACCTGCCTGTGAGAATGGCCAGAGTTACTCTGCAGGCTGTTACCAGTATTTATGGTAATGTGTTTCAAGTCTAGGAGACCTAGCTGGTTGCCCAGTGGTTATTTTTAGGTAAGGGACTTATGCTGAGGACAACCAGCTGATGGGACTTTGAGAGATTTTTCTCTCTCTATCCAGAGATGGAGCCTCCTAAGATGGAGCCCCTTGCCCAGTGCACTACAGTGGTTCAGAGACAACTGTGGTGGAACTGATTTTGGATGCAAGCAGCAGTAAGTGCCAGTTTGCAGCAAGCAGCAGGGAGCCATTGCTGGAAGCAGGGTCTTACTTTTCCAGTCTGGGAGTCCTAACCACTGGACCACAGTGGAGCTGAAGAGGAAAAGTTAAAATTTTATATAACCTCCTTCTCCTTCTGCCTCTGTAACTCAGCTTGCCCCTTGCAAAGTCTAGATCATGTAGGTCATGTAGTCTTAGAAAGTGGGGAATTGCAATACTAGGAACTGGAGTTTATCTCACTCACCCTTGTCCTGCTCTTTGCAATCGCCCAGCCCCTGCAAACCTGTTTAATTATGCCTGTTCGGGCCAGGCATCCCCCTCCCCATCTTGACCACTGTAACTGTGTGTGTGAAACCCCTTAGTTTAAACCAGCCTATTAACAGCTAGTGTTGCCCACTACAGTCTGTCTATAAAAACTCTGTAATCCCTTTGTTCAGGGCTCAGAGCTTGGAGTGTTAACTCCTCTGGGGCCGCTGGCGTAATGAATCTGAGTTCTCTTAACTTCCCGAGTGTGGTACTTGGTTTCTTGAGTGCTGGTTTTTGCAACAGAGCCAGCAGTTAGGCTAAGGTCCCTAGTCTTAGCCTGCTTAGTCAAGAACAAGGTAGGAGGTATAAGGTAAAGGGTAAAGTAAACAGTTTATTGAAAAGAAAAGTACATGTGGAAAGGCACACAGGTGAGCTCAGAGAGAGAGTCTCACCTTTTTGAAGTTTAAATCCTTTATAAAGGGTCAGTTTTCTGGGTCTTTGTCTTCCCTCAGGCCAATCATCTTGCTCTGTCTCCCTCTGGTTAATTTGTCTTAGGACCCTCACCTGAGGTTTGCACACATACACCTTAGCCAAGATGGATCTCAAACTGAAGGCTTCTGGGAGGAGCAAGACTCATTATGGCCTGGAATATCCTCTGATTTTCAACTCCAAGGAGCCTTTCTGAGCACGTGTAATGCCGCCCTTATCCTTTACTCAGGCAGGGTTTTTGCCTCTCTTTGTCCTTGTCATGATTATTCCCTTGAGATGTTTACAAGATACAAAGACTGGCTATTTACCCTGTTTCTGAGGTTACTTCCAATTTGGAGAGGAAACAGGAGGCTGGTAGTAAATTCTTCAACTGGAGCCCACCTGTCTCTTGCCTCAGGAAATTCAAAGAGGAGGCTGGCTGATTGTAAATATCCAACCTGGAGCCTGTCTATCTCCTACCTCAGAATCAGAGGCTCACGAACCTGGGAACAGGACTGGGGCACCTGCACACCCTGCTGTTGCCTCCTTGTGCTTCTCTGTCACTGGGGATCAGTGAGTGCTAGACAAGTCGAGGTCTGGGCACGAGACTTAGGACAACTTGACGGGAAGAAATGTGAAAGTAAGGAAATTCTACCTGCTAAGATTCTAAGTTACAGCTCTCCCATTTACCTCTAGGACATGTTATTTAATGCCCTGAAAGTGAAAATGTTAGTTGCTTAGTCCTCTCCAACTCTTTGCGAACCCATGGACTCTAGCCCTTCAGGCTCCTCTGTCCATGGAATTCTCCAGGCAAGGATACTGGAGTGGGTTGCCATGCCCTTCTCCAGAGAACTTCCTGAACCAGGGATCGAACCTGGGTCTCCTCCATTGCAGGCAGATTCTTTACCATCTGAGCCACCAGGGAAGCCCATTTAATGCCCTAGGCTTCTGAATATTCTTAGGGAGCTTCCATGACACCATCCATTTTCACACTTGCATCTTTATTAGAAACCTTGCTTACATAAACTTCTCCTATGTAAGCAGTTGATGAATCCTTCCGCTCCTGCAGCAGTGCTCCCTGACATTTTTGGCACCGGGGACCCGTTTTGTGGAAGTCAATTTTTCCACCAACAGGGATTATACAGGGAGATGGGTTCGGGATGATTCAAGAGTGTTACATTTATTGTGCACTTTATTTCTATTACTATTATATCACCTCCACCTCAGATCATTAGGCATTAGATCCTAGAGGTTAGAGACCCCTGCCCTGCAGAACATCCCATCATCCTTTGTCCTCATAATCACAAACAGCAGGGAGAAGCTGAGGTAATGACCTTGTTGACCCCCCCTGGCTCTGAGTCTAAATGAGAAGGAAGGTGGGTCTTGATAAGCATTGGGAGAGAAACGTGACCCAAAGTAGAGGGGAAACTACTGGACGGAAAGGAGGTGGAGGCAGTTCCAGGCGTGGGAATTTGGTAGACAATGGAAGGGCCCTGAAGGCTGTCCTGGGGGAACAGGGCTGGGAAAGCTGAATGAGGGTGTTTCCTGAGCTGAAAGGAACCTCGTGGTGGTTCCCAAGGGATATGACTTCTATTTTACCCAGGGGTCCTGCCCGGGTGCCTGGCTTTATCTGATGGGACCAGGACTCAGCCAGCTCTCTCATCGCCTGGCCTGGTTAGGGGCATGGACCCACCCTCAGAGGGCCTGGAGCTGAGGCCAGGAGTCTCTCATTCCTCCAGTTGCTTGGCTGTTCTTCAGCTCATCTATCCATTCTAGAAAAGTAATCTTGCAGGTTTTCACAGGTCGCTGTTATAGGTTGAAAGCTTGTGTCCCCTCCTTGGCTGAAACCCTAACCTCAGGTGATGGTGTTTGGAGGTGGGGCCTTTGAAGAGTAATTAGATTTAAATTACGGTAGGAGGTAGGCCCCTCCGTGGTAGGATTAGTGGTTTTATAAAAAGAAGGGGGCGGGGATTTTCTGGTGGTCCAGTGGTTGAGGCTCTGCCTTCCAATACAGGTTTGATCCGTGGCAGGCCTAGGCTCCCACATAGTGTGGGAGAACTAAGTTTGCGGGCAATAACTACTGACCGGCAGTTCTCTGGGGTGCATATACTACCACTACTGAGCCTGCGCACTATGAAGCCCACGTGCCTCAAGCAGCTACTGCGCATGTGCACTCTGGGGCACACCGTCTGCAACTACTGAGCCTGCGCACGTTGGAGCGCAGGTGCCACAAGCAGCTACTGCGCATGTGCACTCTGGGGCACACCTTCTGCAACTACTGAGCCTGCGCACTCTGGAGCTCACGTGCTGCTGTTACTGAGCCTTATCAGCTCTGAAGCACAGGCGCCTCAAGGAAAGGCCCTTATGACACAACAACTCGACGCAGCCAAAAAATAGAATAAAGTAATTAATTTAAAAAAAAAGAGAGAAGAGGAAGAGGTGAAGGTCACATGCATTTATAGCGAGAAGGCAGTTGTCTGCAGCCCAGGAAGAGGACCTCCGCCAGTAACGGAATCTGTTGGCAGCTTGACCCAAGAAGTACAGCCTTCAGGACGGTGAGAAACGTCGTTTCTTGAGAAACGACAGTGTTGTTTAAGCCCCGCCCTCTGTGGTGTGTAGTGACAGCTGAGACAGACCCCTTTTGCTTACTCAGCACATTTGCTTCGTGTTCGCTGTGTGTCAGGCCCTGTACGTGGCGCGGGACTCGAGAGTGACGGGGAAACGATCTGCAGGGTGAGCGACCACGGCTTTGAAGGGCAGTGCACGGGGGAGGCCAGAGCACACAACAGGGAAATGTCTTAGCTCTGGCATTCAGGGACGGTCTCTCTGAGGATTCTTCTGAGTGAAGAGGGGTAGTCACCTCACGAGCCAGGGAAGAGAAATCTGGGGGGGGGGGGGGGGGGAACAATGGCTAACACAAACCCCTGGAAGCTGGTGGGAACCTCCATGGGTATTTGAGACCCAGGAGTCTGTCTATACCTGAGGCTGGGAGAATGGGTAACGGTGGGATGGGTGATGAGGTTGCAGAGATGGATGGGATCTTGATACCAGAGAATCTCATCAGCCTATTATGACAATCTAGAATATTTAAATATAATTTATTTATTTGGCGGTGCTGGGTCTTAGTCGTGGCGTGCAAACTCTTAGATGTGGCATGTGGACTCTAGTTCCCTGATCAGGGCTGGAACCTAGGTCCCTTGCATTGGGAGCTTGGAATCTTAGGCCCTGGAGAACCAGGGAAGTCCCAACCATCTGGAATCTAATTGGTACAATTTGAAAACCCAGAAAAATTTTCTGCAGGGGAGGGACAGGACTTGATTTTGGGGGTGGGGGTAGGGAGTGCTGCAGCTTATGGAATCTTAGTTCCCTGACCAGGGATTGAACGTGAGCCCTCAGCAGTGTAAGCATTGAGGCTTAACTGCTGGACTGACAGGGAACTCCCTATTTTTTTAAAAGCTCTCTCAGGCTGCTGCGTGGGGTAAAGGCTGGGGCTGGGGCAGGTGCCAGGGTGATGGTGGCACAAGCAAGAGAGAAGCAGCGGAGGTGTCGGGAAGTGGCCTGGCTTGAGGTGTATCTTTGAGATAGAACTTACATGATTTGTTAACAGTGTCATGTGCGTCAAAGCGAGCTGACTTCCACACGAGAGGCCGGAGTTAGTGGATCGATAATGGCAAGATGAGAAGGGTAGGTAGCAGAGGAGTGGGCAGCCCTGGGCGCCATCAGGAGCTGCATGGTCAGATGCTTGTTTATTGGCCATCCATGATGTACGGCTTGACTGAAAACCCAGAGCGGGGTGTGTGTTGGAGGCATGGAGAGATCCTCAGAGAGGATCCGCAGAGGGGAAGCCTGACATGCAGTCAGAGATGAACCCAGTGGGCGCTCAACATTCAGAGAACAACCAACTCAGGAAGGAGGAGGACAGTCAGGAGAGGTCAGTGGCCCAGAAGCTTACAGAAAGCTGGAAAAAGGCTAAGGACAAGCACCTCAAATACCACTGGGAGATCCAATCAGAGGCAAACAGAACGGGCCGCTGGATTTGGCAAAGACATGCATGATGTGGCAAGAAATGAGTGGCCTCCACAAAGAACAGGCTGAAGGACCAAGTGGGGAGAGCTAAGCAGAAAAGGGCAGAACAGAGGTGGCAGCTAGGTGGGGGTCAAGATGGAGAGAGAGCTTGTTTTATTATAGGATGGGTGAGCGCCTGCTGCAGGCCCACGGGAAGAAGGTAAGAGCCGGTTGCAGGAATGCACAAGAAGCCATGGGACTCAGAACACAAGGGGCAGGAGTCGGGGAAGGCGCATGGATGGTTGGAGACCACAGGTGCAGGAAGCACTGCAGGATCTGCTGGTGAGACCAGCCTGGGCTGCCTGACTTTCACAGGGAAGTGTGAGCGCCAGGGCTGGGGGAGGAAGCGGCTGCCGCCGCACTGACTGTTTGGTGTGGGCAGAGGTTTAGCTGCAGGTTGTGCCCTCAGAACTGCTTGGGGTTGGGGCACAGCTGGGCCGGCCACCGCCTGGCAGGCATTAAAGCCATGCTGACTTCCCTGCCCTGCCTGTTGTTAGTGCTGCAGTGAACATTGGGGTACACGGTGCACATGTCTTTACACATTAGTTTTTTCTGGATGTATGCCCAGGAGTGGGATTGCTGAATCTTATTTTTAGTTTAAGGAACCTTCATCCTGTTCTTCACAGTGGCTGTACCAACTTACATTCCTACCAAGAGTGTAGAGAGGTTCCCTTTTGTCCACACCCTCTCCGGCATTTATTGTTTGTAGATTTTTTTTTTTATAATGGCCATTCTGATGGTGTGAGGTCATACCTCTGTGTTTGGCTGAGCAATATTCCATTGTATATATGTAATCACTAACAAAGGAGGCAAGAATACACAATGGAGAAAATACAGCCTCTTCAATAAGTGGTGCTGGGAAACCTGGACAGCTACATGTAAAAGAAAGAAATTAGAATACTTCCTAACACCTCTATGTAGTTTTGATTTGCATTCCCTGATGACTCAGATGATAAAGAATCTGCGTGCAATGCCGGAGACCTGCGTTTGAGTCCTGGGTGGGGAAGATCCCCTGGAGGAGGGAATGGCTGCTCCAATATTCTTGCCTGGAGAATTCCATGGACAGAGGACCCTGGCAGCTACAGTCGCCACGTGGACACGACTCTGAGTGACTAACACTTTGACTTCTAATAATTAGACATGTTGAACACATCTTTTCATGTTTATTGGCCATCTGTTTGTCCTCTTTGGAGAGATGTCTGTTTATGTCTTTTGCCAGTTTTTTGATAGGGTCATGTGTTTTTGATATTGAGCTGCATGAATGAGCATCTTGTTATTTTGGAGACTAATCCTTTGTTGCTTTGTTTGCAAATATTTTCCCCCATTCTGAGCGCGGTCTTTTCGTCTTGTTTATGGCTTTCTTTGCTGTGCAGAAGCTTTTAAGTTTAATTCAGTTCAGTTCAGTCGCTTAGTCTTGTCCGACTCTGTGACCCCATGAATCACAGCACACCAGGCCTCCCTGCCCATCACCAACTCCTGGAGTTTACTCATGTCCATCGAGTCAGTGATGCCATTCAGCCATCTCATCCATCACTCTCCTCTTTCACTTTCATCAAGAGGCTTTTTAGTTCCTCTTCACTTTGTGCCATAAGGGTGGTGTCATCTGCATATCTGAGGTTATTGATACTTCTCCCAGCAATCTTGATTCCAGCTTGTGCTTCTTCTAGCCCAGTGTTTCTCATGATGTACTCTGCATGTAAGTTTAATTAGGTCGCATTCATTTTTATTTTCATTACTCTAGGAGGTGGGTCAAAAAAGATCTTGCTGTGATTTATGTCAAAGAGTGTTCTGCCTATGTTTTTTCTAAGAGTTTTATAGTGTCTCACCTTACATTTAAGTCTTTAATCCAGTTTGAGTTTATTTTTGTGTATGGTGTCAGGAAGTATTCTAATTTCATTCTTTTACATGTAGCTGTCCAGTTTTCCCAGCACCACTTATTGAAGAGGCTGTATTTCCTCCTTGTATATTCTTGCCTTTGTCAAAGATTACATATATACAATGGAATGTCACTCAGCCATAAAAAGGAACAAATCTGAGTCTTTTGTAGTGATGTGGACGGACCTAGAGTCTGTCATACAGAGTGAAGTAACTCAAAAAGAGAAAAACAAATATTGTATATGAACACATGTATGTGGAATCTAGAAAGATGGTACAGGTGAACCTATTCACAGGGCAGGAGTAGAAATGCAGACATAGAGAATGGACATGTGGACATCACCGAGGGAGGGGAGGGTGGAACACATTGGGAGACTGCGCTTGACATATCACTACCACGTGGAAAACAGAGAGCAGGTGGGAAGCTGCTGTGTAACACAGGGAGCTCAGCTCGGTGCTCTGTGATGACCTAGAGAGGTGGGATGGGGGCGTGGGAGGGAGGTTCGAGAGGCAGGGGATACGTGTATAGGTGTAGATGATTCACACTGTTATACAGCAGAGACAAACACAACACTGCAAAGCAATCATACTCTAATTTTCAAAAAAGGACATGCTAGCTTCTGGCATTCTGGGAGGCCGTGCCATCCTGGGTAGGGTCTGGAGCCACTACCTGGGACCAGGATATTCTCACACATCTCAACAATACAGACCCCGTTTAAAGGGACGAACGACTTTCTGATTCAGTAGCCAGTAGAAACAGGAACCCTGATTTAGACAAGAATTTATTTTCTGGACTATGTGTTTACCATAGATTAAAATTAATATAATTTAATTCACATACAAAGACAACTATGGGGGGACTACCTGGATACAATGTGACCTGGGGTAGGTGGACTGACTTAGGGCACAACACACTCAGGCCTGAGCAGACACCAGCTTGCTCATACCAGAGAAGTAGGATTTCTCTCTTTCGCTCATCATTTCAAAATGTAGTGGCCTCCTGCAGAAGTTGCACTCGGCTGAGGAATGTGGCTTGAGTTCCAGCCCAACTCGCTTCCATGTGGCCAGCAGATTATCTGTGAGGAGAAAGTTTTTTAAAATTAGAGGAAGTACATACCCAGGACAAATGGAAATATATGTCCCCAATAAAAACTTGTACACAAGTGTTCACAGTAGCATTCTTTTTTCTTTTTTCTCATGATAGTCAAAAAGTGGGAACAACCCAAACGTCCACCAATTGATGGATAAACAAAATGCGGTATACCTGTACTGAGAATTATTTGGTAGTAAAAGGGAATGAAGTACCAACTCAAGTTACAACATAGATGAAACCTTGAACACACTGTGCTATGAAATAAACCAGGCATAAAGGGTCATATATTGTATGATTCCATTTACATTAAGTATTATGTATAGGGAAGTTCACAGACAAAAAGTGGATCAGGGCTGGGATGTGGCTGCTAAGTGGTGTAAAGTTTCTCTTTGAGGTGATAAAAACATTCTGGCATCCGAGTGCTGACGGTTGCACACCATTAACTTAAAAACCACTGAATTACGTATTTTGAAAGGTTAGAATTTGTGATATGTGAATTCTATCTTAATAGGCTGTTACTTAAAAAATAGAGAAAACCCAGGTCTGGCTTCACTTTACACCCTTCAGAGAAGCTGCTCCCACATGGCCCCACTGTGTGGAACGGCTCGTTCCTTGCAGAGCAGCCCTAAAGGCTAGCGGCGGGGAAGCCTCCACGGGTGGCGGTGGAGGCTCGGGAGGGCAGCACACCTCCGAGGCAGAGGCAGCTCTGAGCAGCCTGTTCAGTCTCTGCCTTCACGTGGACGCGGGGGAAAGGACTGGGTTATATAGAACTGTGAGAGTCTGAAATGCTGAAGAGAAGGGGTTAGGTGTGAGTCAGTTTTCAGAGAAGAGAGAAGTGCAGAGCTGAGCTCTGGAGGCCTGGGCAGGCTCAGGCCGTCGGAGGCATCTCTCCTGCAGCAGCCACCACCGGGGGTCCCTGAGTCACACAGACAGAGGCATCGATGGGAACTCTGAGAAGATCAGCAGGCTCCCTCAGTGCTTCCCATGAAGTGGAGCAAACAACTAACTGTCTTTCACACTTCTGTACCACCTGAGAATATTCTTAATCACTTGGAAAAAGAAGAGACAAATCTGAATGGCTTGAGTTATAAATGCTGCAGACAGCTTCACGCCACTCTCCCGCGGGGCTCTGGCAGCTCCCTGGCTACTCACCCACAAAGTAGCTCATCATCTGCGGCGTGTGGTGGGGCGTGGGGGCGATGCGCAGCAGCTCCTCGCCCCGGGGCACTGTGGGGTAATTGATGGCTTGGACGTAGATATTATGTCTAGTCATTAGTTCATCACAGACCTCCGTGTTTTTAGCAGCATCTGCCACCTAAGATTGATAATAACAGAAGATAAGGCTGGAACCAGAGAGCAGAGACTAATCACATGCATGTCCAAGTGGCTTGGGCTCAAGCTGCATATGCAAACCTGGCAGAGAGGCAGAGTGCTGCCCCGACACCTGCAGTTTAAAGGGTTGTTCACCACAGATCAGAGAATGAAGCCACATTAGAAGTAACTTTCACACTGATCTCCCTCCCAGGCTCCAGAGGGGGAAGCGGGAGCTCCCGTGAGCCTATTGTGATGGCGGTGGGTGTGTGCACCCTGGGGTGAAAGCAGCTTTGGTGATACCAGCTCTGCTACTCAGATGCATTCAACTGTGGCGCCAACAGGCTGCCCTTTGTAGCAGGCAGAGCAAGACCTATGTCACAGTGAAATGAACAAAAAGCCATACTTCAGAGCTAGCCAAGCTCCGGCTTCTAGAGCTTCCCAGACACAAGCTCTGTGTTTACCCTGTCAAGGCTAGTGCGCTGGAAAAGGAACCTCTGCTCCAGCCTGCTGGGCTCAAAGGCTTCATTCTCATTGTTGAAGTCAGCCAAAGGCAGAAACACGGCAGACGGACACTGGCTACAGCCCTTTGCCCCAACAGTCACCCTGCCCAGCCCAAGTTCAGGAAGGCGTGAACCAGAACATCTCCTGGTCAAGTGCAGAGGCCCAGCCCCCAGCAAGTCTAGTCACAGACAGGTCATTACCCGGACAGGGATGATGTGACTGGGGCAGTGGACCACTGGCAGGCCGGCATCCATCAGCATCTGCCTCATGAGCTTCACATTGCGCTGGTGTTGGCGGCGAAGGGCCCGGCCCTCAGCGCTCCTCAGGATCCGCACAGACTCCAGCGCTCCAGCCAGCAGCATGGGCGGCAGGGAGGTGGTGAAGATGAAGCCCGCTGCGTAGGACCGGACGGTGTCGATCAGGGAACTCGTGCTGGCGATGTACCCTCCAACGCAGCCAATGGCTTTGCCTGGGAGGAGACAGGTTCATTGATTACAGCGACTGCCCTAAGTGTGCACAGCCAGGCGCTGCAGAGCCTCAGAACACTTACTCTTCTCTCTCCTTTGTTTGTCCTAAGACTCAAATCAAGGGGCAGCAGCCCATTTCCAAAAGGGAAAAAGCTGAGAGTGTTACAAAGGGGTCGTGCCCAAAGTCAAATGGCCAAGCTGGTGTCTGACCAGGATCAAAGCACAGGTCTCCAGACCAGGTCTGGCACCAGCGGCTGGTCCCAGCGTGCCTAACACTGAGTGCCACCTCCCCTCTGTCTTCCCTTCCCACCCAGGGTGGCTGCATCCCCCGCACTCTGCACTGCACCTGCTCTGGACAGGGTCCAGCTGGGTGCTCACTGTGAGTGTTACCCTTGAGGCCAGAATGTCAGCCAGCAAAAGACACTAACTTGTTTTGGCAGGACTGGTATTAATTTCTACTTAAGTAATCACAAAACTCCAACAAGGAGTGTTTGCTGGATAAACATGAAAACTCAGACCCTGTTATGGTTGATTTAGGGCTGGCCTCATTTTTTAGTTCTTCATGAGTTCCCTTACATAATCAGTATCTCAGGTTTCAAGATTAAGGACTCCAGGAGAGTCCTCCTCAATCTTAAACATTATGTTCTGTAATTAACATTCTTGCTTCAACCCCACACATGGCTGGACTGGTATAAGCTGTCACAATGGAAAATTCTTCTCTCCAGCCCTTTTCATCTCTCAGGGACAATACCTTCAAAGGGCCAACGCCATGAGAGCTCTTTACAAGAAAAGGGCAGCTGGAATTAAGTCACGTGAACAAGAGTTCTCCTGGCAGGGCTCTGCCCCAAGAACCCCAGGCTCTCCTGGTCTGCACGACGTCATGCCCCTTGACGGGGCTGAAGGACACTTTTTTGCTTGCCATTCCTTTACAAGGTGCAGGCTGTAAAGTGGCATTTTAGCCAGCCAGTGCATGTGTCTCCAACTGCTTACTAACTTCTGAAATTCTCAAATTTGTATAGATGACATTTTTATTTCATAGACGAAGAGAAGGCCTATATAATTGTCTGAATACTGTTCACTTATATTCTTCAAACTGGTGGGGTCTACTGTTACCTCCATGAGGAAACTGAGGCACAGAGAAGTTAACCACCAATCCAAGGTCACACCGATGGTGAGTTACACAGGCAAGATTTACACCCAGCAGGCAGCATAGCTATGGAGTCTGGAGTTGCTCCAAGAGACGCTGCTTCTCAACTAGGAGGAGCAGAGGCTATACAAAGACATTGGGTGAACTGGACTACTCCCACGTGCTAGCGACAGAGCTCAGCACCTCACCACACAGCACCTGAGCCTGTAGCTCCAGGAGAACAGCGCTGAAACGCTTCCTTTTGATTTCTTTTTAATATAAGGGAACAATCCGAGGCACAGACAGTAAAAGCTATTGCCACGGTGTATACTTAGAGCCACAACTGTGTTTGCAATGAGCTTAGAGGGCAACAAATGGTACTTCCGTCATGTTAGGCTATGAGATTTACTTTGATTCTGCGGGCCAGGCCTCCATGACTCAAGGGATTCTGCTAAGCTGTGCCACTCATTGAGAGAATAAAAACTTGCTCAAAAAAATGACCCAGGCTTTAGATGCTATCAGACCATCCCCTCACCTGACCCATTAGACCAGCAGTCCTTGGTTTTGTTGTTTAGTTGCTAGGTTTTGTCTGACTCTTTTGCAATCCCATAGACTAGTCCCCAGGCTCCTCTGTCCATAGAATTTCCTAGGCAAGAATACTGGAGTGGGTTGCCATTTCCTCCTCCAGGGGATCTTTCTGACCTAGGGATGGAACTCTAATCTCCTGCATTGGCAGGTGGATTCTTTACCACTGAGTCAGAATTTAACTTTAGTACGGATTACAGACTGTGCAGAGCACACATACCAAGTGTTCCAGAAATTATGTCCATTTTTGGCATAACTCCATCCCGATCGCCAATCCCTCCACCTTGTGGCCCGTAGAGCCCCACTGCGTGGACCTCATCCACAAAGGTGATTGCTCCAAACTCATGGGCCACATCACACAGCTCTTCCAGCGGGCACACTGCTCCTGAGGAGAGACCACAGACCATGCTGAAGCACTTGCTGTCTCACAGATTTCTGTTTTAGTAAGGGTTAGAACACAATAACTTACCTTCTAAGATATTTTTAATACTGGGGAAAGCAATGAACTTCCCCCAGTTTCTGGACTGTTTTGAGATCCAGAGCTTAGTAAAAGCCAAAGCAGAATATCTACAATCACCCAAATCTATACAGTGTCCCCCAACTACAAAATCCTGGCAGAAAGTGAAAAGAAAAGAAACTACAAAAATAACATCACGCTTTTAAGTTCAGGCCTTGTTTTCATTAAAAGTTTTCAGGCTGGCCTCTAGACAGACTTACCATCCATTGAGTGGACAGTTTCAAAGGCGACAATCTTGGGGACAGCAGGGTCGGACCTCTGCAGCAGTTCTCGGAGGTGGCTGACATCGTTGTGGCGGAAGATGTACTTTGGCACTCCGCTGTTCCGAATCCCTTGGATCATGGAGGCATGGTTCCCAGCGTCAGAGTAAATCTCACAGCCTAACAAGACAAAAAATGTGCTTTATTGCCATCTTTACCAAAGCCAGATTATTTTCTCAACAGTCAAGGACAACAGACTTTGCCCTGAAAATGCTACTTTGCCCTGTAGGAAAAAGACCTTGCATGCCAGTTTCTTTCTGGCAAAATAACTAACTAGTGCTTCTCTTCTGAGAGGGCCCATAGATATAAAATAACCCAGTGGCACACAGTTAATCTGTTTTTAAATCTGGCCCCCTCACTCCAAACTCAATCAAAAGATAACTACACATGATTAAGAGAATTCTCCAAAAGATTTTCTTGGAATACAAAGCACACTGGAAGGAATTACTGTAAGGACAAGCCCTGCAAGTCTGATTCTTCATTGTTATCATGCTCTACCGGAACTCAGAATGTAACACTTCATGCTCAATTCAAGAACAAATGCTCCCACTTCCTAGCATATCTCTTGAGTGGTTTTGGTCTTTTTTGTTATCTTCCTGTTATTACTAAGAAACCCAGACAATTCTAAGGTACCCACAGCAGGCTTCCTACCTGGCATCATCTTAGCCAGAGTGAAGAGGGTCGAGTCATTGGCCACAAAACATGAGGAGAACAAGAGTGCAGCATCTTTTCCATGGAGGTCAGCCAGCTCCCGCTCCAGGTCCACATGGAATTTACTAGTTCCAGAAATATTTCTAGTACCCCCTGCTCCAGTACCATGCTGTTTCAAAGTGTCTCTTTAAAAAAAAAAAAAAGCAGACAGAAAATAAATCTCATGGTTCTGATTACTACAAGAACAGTTCCTCCCTCTAGGATCCAGGAGACTGAAACTGATGTTGATGTAGCACTTCTTTCCCTGTGAATATGTGGCCAGAAGTTTCAATCACTTCCTGTCTAGACTGGGTGGGAGAAAGTCTCAACACCAGGGTGATGATGCCTCTGGGGGGATCAAGAGCAAGTGTCCACTTACCAGTCTTAGTTGAGTTTAGTTAATTTATGAAGGTTTCTTTTCTCTGACAAACATCTCTTTCTCCAATAACATGACCTCAGGCTCTAGAGGGACATCTTGACTGATTGTCAGTTATACCCTCTGCGAACCAGTCCCATAATCTTAGGCTGTCTCTATTATTAAACCTCAGACTGGGCTCCCTCTGGCAAGCCTCTTGGGGAATTTGGCCAGCAACTCTCTCAGGTGTCCTTAACCATGGCTAACCTCCTAAAGGACATGAGTGACGGGCTCTACCATCCCACTGCTGCTCAATTTGTATTTCTCCATCCACACCTACAAGGCAGGGCACGTATGTGCAAGACTGCTTGGTGTAAGAGGGGTCCTTGCTTATGGAGAAGTAGGAAGTGAGCAGACATGTAGTCAGTGAGCCCAGAAACTTGAACCCTTGCATAAAGCGGGGCTCCATCAACTACTTACACATTTCGGTTCCTCTAAAATTAATGTGTACATATTTTTAAAGGCTAAAAATTTAGCCTTTAAAATTTTCCCCTATAAAAGATCCAATCCCTGTAAATTATCAGTGTCTTGCTAAGTCATGCCAGTGGTATCTGAAAGCTGAGAGCTACTTACATGACGGCTCCACACACCCGTGGGTGGCGACTCATTCCTAGGTAGTCATTGCTACACCAGACAGACACCTGCTTTTTGCTGATGAGAGAGTCCGAATAGTCATCTGCCATGGGGAAGGACTGCGCCTTCCGGTTCACAGTTTTGAAAACTCGATAGCTATGGTCATTTTTTTTCTCATCAATTTTCTTCTCAAAGAAACGATCATACTGAAAAGTGCAAACAGCTAAAAACCAAACAAAAGATGGTACAATCTGATGGTTAAAAAGCACATCTAGGCTTTGGTGGAAGACCTGGGTTCCCATCCCAGCTCAGTCACTTGGCAGTAGGGAGGTTCTGGACAAATGAAGGAAGTACTCATCTGGGCAAGAAGACTGTGTGTGTCTCAAAGGACACTGTATGTGCCAAGTATTTAACATAACCGCCCCCCCCCCCCCCCCCCCCCCCCCCCCCCCCCCCCCCCCCCCCCCCCCCCCCCCCCNCTGCCTGCAATGCAGGAGACCCTGGTTTGATTTGTGGGTCAGGAAGATCCCCTGGAGAAGGGAAAGGCTACCCACTCCAGTATTCTGGTCTGGAGAATTCCATGGACTGTATACGCCACACAGTTGCAAAGAGTCGGACACGACTGAGCGACTTTCACTTTTCATTTTTCATGAGCAGATAGTAGGTGCTAAGAAGGAGGAGGCAGGCTCTCAACTGGACTGGCATTTACTATAGATGAGAGCATCAACCTGCATCAAGCAAGGGGCATGTTTGTTTTTTTTTTACTTAATTTGGCTGCACTGGGTCTTATTAATAGTTGTAGCATGCAGAATCTTCCATCTATTAGTTGTGGTATGAGGGATCTTTAGTTGTGGTGTGTGGGATCTAGTTACCTGACCAGGGACGCAACTCAGGCCCCCTGCCTTGGGAGTGCTAAGTCTTAACCACTGGACCACCAGAGAAGTCCCAGGGACGTGGTTTTTAATCCTCAACTCACCATGCAATTATATGTTTAATCTGATGTATGTTTAAGTTATAAACTGTCTTGCACTGGGAAAATATCAGGGAGACTCACATTTTGGCAAGTTATCTTGAAGAAGGTGGGACACTCCTTCTGGTCGTTGCTTTCGCATGATATCCTGAAAGTTCTTAAACAGTCCATTCAGCTCCCCTCCTTCGGTCTTCACATTAATCACACTGGGATTCACTGAGGTTTGGGCAACCTCTGGAATACAAGTAACAAGAGGCACAGGGGATCAGTGTTCTATTCTGAGTCCACAATACCTTCCAGACATATTGCCAAAAATGGCTTACTGCCTAGTTTGTAAAAATAGCTCATCATAACCAAAGTGAGATGTAACTGAATATATGAAGCCTCTCTTCTTTAGTTACTGTTTCATTTTGTTTTCAGAGCTACCAGCCAGCTTTCAGGAATATTAAACTCCAAAGCTTTTTTTTCCCCCCGGCTGGTTAGCATGCCTTCCCCACTGCACCCTCCAACCCTAACTGAGACAATTTTCTTTATAGAAAACAATTCCAGCCATTTGATCATTTCTGCTGGCGAGGTTTCTTGGGGACCTTGTGTGTTCCATGGATACACCCACAAATGGAATTAAGGCTACCACACAGCTACCACCACTAACACAGCTTGGGAGTCCTAAGACCAGCATTAACTGCAGTAACACTATTTTTTCCCTTTTATTCCACCAGATGATGGGAAAGAAACACAGGGCAACCAGTTACAGTTTATGCTTGCAGGGTATTTTCAGAAATTAAAGAGTTACTGTAAAAGCTGGTCACACCCTACACAACACACAGAGAAAAGAAACTCCCACGTTTTACCACACAGTCCCCTATCTGAATGAGTTTTCTCCTCGGCCCTAAAAGAGGAAGATGCTGACACAAAGACTCCCCTAGTAATGGCTCAGACAAATCTGAGGGTCCAAAGGAGCCGAAGGACCTCTTCACTCTTGTGAGGGTCCCTGTCATGCTTACCTTCCCTCACGGCATGCATCTCCTGCACATCTTCCTGAAGCACCAGGCTGGCTTTGCGGAAGACACTGCTGCCGCCCTGGCTCATCTCGGCTGCCAAGAAAGGGCATTTGCTCCCAGTGCCCTGGCCTGAGGCAAGGGAAGGGTGTCCAGACGGAAGCTGCGTGCCATCTGTAGTCTGCTGGGATGCATCAGGAGCCTGCTGTGATCTGTCAGGAACCTGCTGCACCTCGGCTTTGGCGGTTTTGTCCTCTGAGGGGGGAAACGGAAAAACTGAAGCATCGGATCTGGCCGCTCAGGACAGAGGCCCACTTGTTTCTTGAGTTGGATTATTTTCAGTAAATCTGCCCCAAATACACTCAGTGTATTTCATGAGAGGACACACTCCTGAAGGTAACTGGAAGTGGTCATACAACTTTTTCTCTGCTAATATTTTCTAAACCAAAAACATCGGTTTAGATTCTTGACCAAAAAAGTTTGCTGTTGCTTAACATATAAACTATCAGATTTCTCTAAATGGCTCAAAGAAGTTCATGACTTAACATGGTCGGCTGGGAATCAATTCCTAGACTTCCCTCTCCCCTTGAGCAAATGTGTTCATCTTCCTTCTAGAAGTCTTTTTTCATCATTCTGGGATACTCCTGTGAGTCATAGGCCAGGCTCACCTATAACTTGGGTAAGATGTCTCCACACAGTAATATCATTTTTATTAAAATCTTCTAAAAGGAAAGTAAAAAAAAACCCAGAAATGGGACTTTCCTGGCAGTACAGTGGTTAGGACTCTGCATTTCCATTACAGGAGTACACAGGTTCAATCCCTGGTTAGGGAACTATGATCTCGTATGCCATGTGGCATGGCCAGAAAAATTGCTTTCAAGTTCATTTCATTCACTATAAATGTCATTAAATACATATTCATTGTAGGAAGTCTAGAAAAACAGAGTTCTATCATTCAAAACATAACCATTAAAAAAAAAATAATACCGATTTCAGGACTTCCCTGGTGGTCTAGTGGCTAAGACTCCACAATTCTACTACAGGGGGCACAGGTTCAATCCCTAGTTGGGGAAGTTGCACATGCTGTGCGGTGTGGCAAAACAAACAAAACACCAGAAAACAAACAACCCCCACCATAACCACCGCAGACAACTTGGCATATTAACTGTCTTTTCCTCTTTTGTGCAGGTTTAGAAAAAGTTTTACTTACTCTGTATGTTGTTGAAGTGAAAGTCGCTCAGTCATGTCTGACTCTTCGTTACCCTATGGACTATGCAGTCCATGGAATTCTGGCCAGAATACTGAAGTGGGTCGCTGTTCACTTCTCCAGGGGATCTTCCCAACCCCAGGATCGAACTCAGGTCTCCCCCATTGCAGGCAGATTCTTTACCAGGTGAGCTACCTCTATGCTTGTTTTAATATGCCCTTTTCATTATAAAGATCTACATAAGCTAGTAAATATTTTCTGAGTATCATCTGGGATGATTACATGATAGTCTGTCAAGTGGACAAGTCACATTTTACTCAGCCAGGAATACAAGAGGAATCTATGGCTAGGACAGACTGGTAAAACAGGGTTTTGATTGTTCAGTAAAAAAAAAAAAAGCCATAACTAATTCCTAAACAAGGGTAAGGAGGGAGAAAAAAAAATCCTACAAAGGATTAAATCCTTTCTACTAAAAGAAAAAAAGCATTCTTTTCTTACAAGTTCACACCCAAAGAACATACCTAACAAGCCCATAGGGTAAATTATTCCCCAGAATTAAGTGGAATCTGAAAAGTTGAATTCTCTCCTGGAAAAGACAGACCAGAACTAAATCTCTGATCTCTTTATTAAAAACAAAATTTAAAAATTAATATACAAAGTAAAGATGTGTTAAAAAAAATTACTATTTTTTATTATTATTTAACAAATTCTGTATGATTCCACTTAAGTGACGTTTTTTAAAGTCAGAGAGAGAAGGTTCGATCATGTCTGCCAGGGCCTGGGGGAGGAAGACGGGGGGTGGAGTTAGGATCGAGTTGCCACAGAGTTCCAGTCTGGGACAATGCAGAGTTCTGGACAATGGGTGGTGGTGATGGCTGCAGACCAATATGAGTATACTTAATACCACTGTATACGTAAAAGTGGTTGCGATGGGAAGTTTTATATGTACTTTGCCACAGTGAAAAAAAAAGTAAAAAAGAGAATAAGAACAGTATGCTTGCATTTAGTTGGAGCTCTGTTACTGGTTCTGGCCAATAGATGTTACGTGTTGCTTCCTGGCTAAAATACCCAAGAGCTGGTGGGGATCAGTGAGTATTTGATGATATTAGGAAACTGCATTATCTTTTAGGTGTGATAATGGTACTGTGATGGTGGTTTAAGAACTCATATCTTTTAAAGGTACAATACTGATATTTACAGAGGGAATTTCTGGAACTAGTTTCAAAATAGTACAGTGGGAGTAGACATGGTAAATGGGGACACAAGTGAAACAAAATTGGCCCTCATTGATTATTGTTGTTCAAAATTGAAATTTACTGTTATGAAAAGTTTTTGAAAGATGAGCTGGTGTGAGACCTTCTCACTTTCCCCTCAAGCAACAGTGACCCAAAAGCCATCTATTTCAGAGGTAAAGCTTTAGGACACCAAAGTGTGGAACACCAGGTCACTGCTTAGAAGACAATGGCCCTGATGACCCGAAGTATGAACAAGAGGACCTACCTTGTGTGAACAAGATAGAAATCTTTTGTGTGTTAAGCCCCTGAGACTCAGGGGTTGCTAGATACCTCAGTGTAGCCTAACGTAACTGAAAAGCACACAGGCACAGCTGACTTTCTGGGCTTCCCTGGTGGCTCAGATGGTACAGAATCTGCCTGGAGAAGGAAATAGCAAGCTACTCCAGTACTCTTGCCTGGAGAATCCCGTGGAGAGGAGCATGACAGGCTATAGCCCATGGGCTTGCAAAGAGTCGGACCCAATTGAGCAACTAACAGAGTTGACTTTGAAGATGGTTTAGTCTGGAATAGCCCACGTGGTCTGGAGCCAGACAAAAAGATAAAGTATAAGATAAGTGACTGCCTGAGACTTCCCTTATGGTCTAGTGGCTGAGACTCTGCTCCCCAGTGACGGAGGCTTGGGACTGATCCCTGGTCAGGGAACTAGATTTTACATGTCGCAACTAAGACCTTGGTGTAGCCAAATAAACAAGTGATTTAAAAAAAAAGGGGTGACTGCCTGAGTAATTAAAAGGAATTTGGGAAGGCATAGCACAGAGAAAGCAGTTGAGGGCAAAAGGCACAGGTCAGGCAACATAGCAAAGGCAAGGGAAAAAAAGAAGAAAAAAAATCACAACTTTAGAAGTTACAGGCTTCTAGATTCCAACTTTACAGAAAGATTCCAAAGATTCTTAGGCTTACATGAATGAGACACTGACAGACTCCCAACAGATACCAACATGCAGCCCGTAAGGTGGAACACTGGCCACTGTTTCACCTTTAAAGATATGAAAACCAAAAGTGCCTACTTCGTGGGGTTAGGATGATGATTCCATGAGATAATCTATGCAAAGAACTGAGCCTGGCACAGAGTAACCCCCTCAGCATGACCCTCATCAGCACTGTGCACAAGAACTGCCTCCAGGGTTAGAATGAATGCAGACATCCCACCACCCTCTACTTTATTGCTAATGACACTTACTCTCATTAGCTGGAGGGGTTTCTGTGACCTGCTGGCAGAGTACTGCTGAAGTGGACAGGGCCCGAGGGGCTGGCTTGGCCCCAATTTCCATCATCTTAGGGCAGTTTTGGGCATAGAACAATAGAGATTTGCCTGCCTTCTGCAGAAAGGCTTGAGGCACTCGAGATAAGAATGGGCAGCGACGAACAACAGTCTCCATCTCCCGGAGGTACACTGATCCTGCACAAAGATGAGGAGTGACACCAACACTTGTTAATATTCGTGCAAATACCATCCCAAGGTCACTGGATTGTCACCTGAAGTTTGTAGCAAGGGTACCATGGGATACTAACAAGTCTCCCTCAAAAATGTCTAAGGACAGCACTGATGAGGGGCTAAGAAGTGGTGACCACATGCAACCCAGATCACCATCTTCTTCATTCCCCAGCTACCTACAAAGGCACCTGCAAAGCTACTTTACCAAATACCGTAAATAATGATGATTAATAACCAAGGGGTTGGGACATGAGGGACAAGTCAGGAACAGGTTTGGGAAGTCAGAGAATCCTTGAGAAAGATGCACAGTGCAGATAAGACACCTTGGCACCCACCCAGGTGGTGAAGTGAGGCCAGGGAAGAAGCCACTGTCATCCATCCAAGCAGAGAGGGCTCTTAGGGATGCTGATCTTCTCCTGGTCCCCACACACTCCCAAAACTCCCAAGAAGGCATCCAGTCCAGCCCTGGGTTCCTGAGGCCAGGATTTCCCCAAGGGTATGCCCCTACAGTTCCATGAACTGGGCATAACTGAGAAAGGAGAGGCAAGGGATCCTGATCTTCTCCTGGTCCCCACACACTCCCAAAACTCCCAAGAAGGCATCCAGTCCAGCCCTGGGTTCCTGAGGCCAGGATTTCCCCAAGGGTATGCCCCTACAGTTCCATGAACTGGGCATAACTGAGAAAGGAGAGGCATACAGAAGGCCAAGGGTACAAGGGGAAACGCCGCTTGGACTAACTGGGAAGAAAAGTGAAAGTGAAGTCACTCAGTCGTGTCCGACTCTTTGCAACCCCATGGACTGTAGCCTACCAGGCTCCTCTGTCCATGAGATTTTCCAGGCAAGAGTAGTGGAGTGGGTTGCCATTTCCTTCTCCAACTGGGAAGAAGCAAGGGTTAAAAAACGAGGGCCTTGGGTCTGGCGGAAAGCAGTGGTCCTGGGCAGGGGAGGTCAGAAGTTATGGGTACAAGTGGGGAAGGAAGTGTCTAGGACTCGAGATTAAAGAGGTGTCTAAGACAGGAATTCGAAAGCAGTCGGTTAAATGGGGAATGGCCATTCGAAAGTGGTCGGTTAAATGGGGAATGGCCATTCGAAAACGGTCGATTAAATGGGCAATGGCGGAAGGGGCCGATGTGGTAGGAGATCGGGCACAAAAAAGGCTGACCCCAAGGTGGCGGGTGATTAGTGCGGTGGGGGATGGGGTCCCAACGGCTAGGGCAGCGGGGCGCCGGCAGGCAGGACACGCGGGGGTCGGGTTGCCTCCGGCGCACGCAGAGCGCGGGGCCCTCACCTGCGCGGGGAACTCGGCGGAGGTGGCGGAGGCCGCAGGTACCCGAGTGAAAGAGCCGAACCAAGCCTTGCCCTTGTCTACGAGAATCCTCAGGCCGCGATCCCTGTCGTCCTAATATACACCCAGATGGGCAGCTGCGCATGCGCCTTGGGCGAGCGCGGCCTCTGCGCAGGCGTGCCGCGGAAAGGGCGGGGCTAGGCGAGGGGGCGCTCCTCGGACTTGGAATTAATGGGGGTTTCCTGGGACTGCCTGTAGCGGGGATGAACTGCAGTTCTGGGGGCGGATACCTTCATCCCGCACCACCTTGCCGCTTCCCCCACCAAGTACCCCTATGCTTCAGAACCATTTGTGGGGCATCAAAGGGCAGAGTTGGGGGGGAAGCACCTCTAGGGCAACTGAGGGGTTATACGGCTATAAAAATAGGTGCCTTGGGTGTAGAGGAGAGGGGAAACTAGGAGTCCCAGACCAGGGCCTTAAGCAGTATGTGACACACCCAGGCTTGTTTTTATGTGGGTGGGAGTGGGGGAAAGAGGGACAGGGGAGGCTTCCCGGAGGAGATGGGACTGGGCTGACTGAAGCATGGTGTGATCCTGGGGGTGATTCCCAGGGACCTGGAGGGAGGGATTCGAGGAGCAGAAGTGGAAGGAGACCTAGCCGTTGCACTTTGTGGTCTGAGATAAAGGGACTTAACCTGATGCAGAGAAGGAGCACAAGGAACAGGGCTGGATAGAACCCACACACTACGCACTGAGGGGGGCCGGCGGTGGAAGCAGGGGATCTGACCTGTAGTTGGGGATTGGCACATATTAATTATTTTTATTTTCCACTGTGGGCCGTCCAAAGTCCCTTGCTGGCCGCCCGGTCTGGGCACCAACTGGGTGACTCAGGGCTTTCTCCCAGAGTTCAATTGGCCCTACCTCCTTTGAGTCTCCCCCAGACCACACCTGTAGGGTACAGCTTGGCAAAACCCTGTCAGGGACGCCAGCATGGCCTCCTTGCTCCACACCCTTCCCAGCTTAACTTGGGCTTGGTTATGCTGGGCCTGCCCCAGGCTCAGGGTTGCTCTCCCCTTCTCCTGAGGAAAGGGCTGCCCAGGTACCTCCTTCCTCAGGTGGGCGTTAATTAGAGGGACAAAGTCTAGAGTGATGGTGGCCAAGGTGTGTTCAGGTACTTCCCAGTTGCCTCTGTCCGAGGCTCCAGCCAGCTGCCAGGCCGGTGAAGGAAGTCACACTGCAGAGGAGACACCAGGGTCCAAAGTGCACCAGGGCCAGTTCACGGGTCCAAGATGAGGGCTTTGCCTGGGAATCCGGGGTTCAACTCTGCCCCATCCTGCTGAGGGGCCCTGGGCAGTGCCCAACAGCTGGAGAGAATGTAAGTGAAAAGATCAGACTCAAGAAGTAGCCAGATGGAGAAGGAAATGGCAACCCACTCCAGTACTCTTGCCTGGAAAATCCCATGGACTGAGAAGCCTGGTAGGCTACAGTCGATGGGGTCGCAAAGAGTCCAACAGGACTGAGCAACTTCACATAAGGAACAGTTGGTGTAATGGAGATGCGATATCATATCACATTCTCCATAAAAAAAAAAAAAGAAGAAGTAGCCAGAACAGAGTAAACACAGTACTGAGCGCTTTGCCCATCCCTGGGCCTCATTTCCCATCATAATCCCCATTCTGCCTACCTTGTGGGGCTGTTTGATCAGAGGCAAAGCAGAAGCTGGAAGAACTGGATATTGGAGCTGGACATGGGTTCTAACCTCAGCTGGATCTTATTTGGTCTCAGGTAGGCCACAGCCTCTCTAAGGCTCTGTTCCTCCTTGTAAAGCTCTCCCGGCCTTGCCACTTGTGTTTGGCAGAGAGTCAGGTGAAGTCATGGTTTTCAGAGGCTTATTGTTTAAACCAACAAGTTTCCAGCCCTCTGGGAATTTCCTGTTTAATGGAAGGAAAGATTAGGAAACAGAAGACTCCCACAGAAAGTGAAATAGGATGTTGTAAATAATTCCAGATGGAGGAAGAGGCTATTACTCCAACAGGCACGGGAGGAGAGGGGAATCCCAGCCACGAGGAAGGCTTCCAGAAGAAGGGTACTGGCTGGAGGGGTGGGTGTCTGTGGGACTGCAAGACTGGTGGGTGAGGCATAGAGTGGGAAAACCCAGCTCTGTCCTGGAGGGCAGTGTGAGTCAGTTTGAATAGCTGGGCTGCAGGAATGCACCTAGGTAGGTAGACGACAAAGGCCACAACAGAGCCACATAGCTTCCTGGTATGAGGACTGAAATAATCAGACCCACGAATCTGCATCTTAACCAGGCCTCCCTCCTGGTAATGTGGGGACAGGGTAGCTTGAGGCCACATCTTGGGAAATGCTGCCTACGTTGTTTCCAGATTGGAATCTTGCTTTTTTTTTTTCTTTTTTTAAAGAACTTTATGTATTTATTTTTAAAAATTTTGATGGCATTAAGTCTTCACTGCAGCATGCAGGCTTAGTTGTCCTGTGTCATGTGGGATCTTAGTTCCCCGACCAGGGGTTGAACCCATGTCCTCTGCNCCACCCCCCCACTGCTGTCTTGCCTCCCTCCTTAGAGCTGTGGTGTAAAACACTCATTTTATCACCCTGTTCCCGGGCAGGGGGGCCCAAGCCACCGTAGGTCAGGCAAGGTCAGGCTCCATTCTGGGAATCACGCTAGGACCCAGCCTCCCCGACTCTCCTGTCTGTGTCATCTTCACCGTCAGGGGCTATTTCATCCTTTTCCACTCTGTGTCCCAGGAGCTATTTTTAGCTGGGCCCCTCTATAAGGATCATGAAGCCCAGGGACCTTTAGCAAGCTTTGTGCTTTCCTCTGGGCCTCACTTTCTACATCCGCCAGCCAGGTGAGAAATCTTGCCAGCCTTCCTCTTGAGGAGACCCCAGTGGACATGGGACAGTTGTGAAGACGGGCAAAAGCTCCAGTCTGTGCTACTGATGCTCAGTGTGGCCTTGGCCTTGGGCCCACAGTGCCCGTTGGGGTGTCGGTGCCTATATGAAGAATGGTGGGTGAGGCGCCGGCCTTGTAGAGGTTCTGGAAGCAGCTCAGCTCTGCCCTGGAGGATTGGAAACACAAGCTCCAGGGTTCATAGTGATCGGGCCCAGGAGTTATGATAGGAATTTGGGGATTGGCTGGGACAGGAGGATTCTGAAGCCCCCACCATTTGCCTTGTTCTGGTCCTTCTAGGCTCTGGCTTACCTGGGGCAGGCCTGGGCCTGGGTTTGTGAAGCCATCTGTGGGGCAGGGGGTGGGCTCCTATTGACTAGAGGGAGAAGGGGCCACAGTGGAGCAAAGTCATCAAATGCTCCAGGAGGCAGGTCTAGGGTGGTCCACAAAGAACAGCACCCCGCACTCTTGTTGACGGAGAGCAAGAAATGCCCCAAAAAGCAAACACTTATCTTCCCAGAGAGCCCCAGAGGACCCCAGAATCTAGCCTTCCAGCCTAGCACCCACAAACTGTGGCCCAGACAAGTTCTGTTTGACCTACACAGTGCTTTTAAAAACGTGAGTTAGTTGGCAAGATGTAGCAATCCAGAGACTGTTAAACTGAAACTCGGATTTTTAGCTTCTCTTGAGGACCTGCAGGCCTGGAGCCCCTGGGCTGGCCGAGGCAGGACCTGCTGTCTCTGCTTTTCCACTAGCGCTCCCTCCAGTGGGTTCTCTACCCTGAGGACATGTGATGTCCAAGCAGTGACGGCTGTCTGACCTTGCAGACATCTGAGTGTGTGTCTGTAGCCCTAACCCATTTTAGAGCCCAGGTGACTAAGACTAGAGAGGGGACAGGACTTGCTCAGGGCCACACAGCAGATGAAGTTTGGGTTGCAAAGGGAACCAGATGTAATGGTTCCCTGCTCTCTAGCCCACACGCTGGGCTCTTTTGCCCTCAGCCACTGGAGGAGGGTCTGGGGTGGGGGGCTAGGGGAAGGATCGGACTGGTCCAGAGGTAGTTCCCCAGAGCTTGTCCTCAGCTCCCAGCCCTGGCCTGCAGGTCAGGCCTGAGCAGGCCCCCTGAGGTGATGGAGCAGTGATGAGGTGAAGACAGGGTGGAGTGAAGGGACCCGACTGAGCCCACCTCCTCTGGCTGGTATTGGATGCACAGTGCGAAGGAGCCTCTCTCCCTGCCCTGAGCTTCTGAGGACACACCCTAAGAAAGGGACCATTACAGGCTGTGACCAGTGTGGACAGTACACAGGGACGGATGATGGCAGGAAGGAGGGGACCCACCTGGGACCTGGTATCAGGGAGATACTGCCCTGATGGAACAGCCAGGCTAAGGGCCTCACAGAGAAGGCTAGAGGAGCCTAGTGTGGATTAGGGAATTAAGGGGCGAGGGAGGCTAGAGGCTAGAGGCAAGAGGGAGACGAGGGAGGTATGTGGGGTGGCTGTCAGAGTCCCAGCCGACCATTACCAGAATCCCACTGTTACCAACTATGTGATTATCAACCAACGCCAGGACCTTCATTTCTCCTTGGCTGTGCAGGCATCTAAAGGCCTATCCTGCTCCATTCTGACCCGAAGAGGGGGAAGCTGGAACAATGAGGGAGGAGGAGAGAGTGAGTGAGCAAGGCCGAGAGCAGTGGGGCTGGGTGGACCAGGGCAGTAAGAAGGCTGGGAGGCTGATGCTACCACGAACAAGTAGCAGCTCCGTTCAGATTTGGGGCCTGGTCCCCACGAAGAAGCCCTCAGTGATTAGCCACATACACTGGACAGAAATTCAGAATAGTGAAGGAACTCGCCTAGGTCACACAGCCAGCAGGTGGAAAACAGGGCTGACCTGCTGGCCTTCTGCCTCCGATCCAGGGCCCCACCCCAGGGAGATTAAGGGAACTGGGAGGAACGAGGCTGGGACTATGTCTAAAGGTTTCAGCTCTCCGCAGAAGCCTTTCTCTACTTCTGGGTGTTGGTCCAGTTTGGTTGGGTAGATGGGAGTGCCCAGCCAAGGAGATGGCCCAGCCAAGGAGATGGCCCAGCCTGACCCTTAGAGGAAATCATCCACTTCCAGAAACCTCTGGGCAGCCAGCCACAGGCTCAGGAGGCAAGACTTCATTCTGACCGCACACACCGGCGACACTGTGCTCCTTCTCTGTCCCCCGCACTTGGGTCAGAGGGTCTGGCCTTGGC